GATGAGTTTTATTTGGAATTTGAGACCATTAATTCTAAAAATAATAAATTAATTTCAAAATTTAAAGTTGAAAATGATTTGATTTTGAAAGCAAAAGTTGATTTTGGAAAACAAAATGAAATTTTGAAAAATGATTCTAAGCTTTCAAAAATCAAAATCAATGATTTAGAAAAATAAAATTTGATTTTAAAGTTAAGCTTGAAATCTTAACAAAAGAAAAAGAATTAATTTCTCAAAACAATTCATCATGCTTAAAAATGGCAAAATGCTCACATTGTCATTTTTATGGTCACATTGAACTTTCTTGTCCTTTAAAACTTGGAAAACATTTTAAAATTAGGCAAGTATGGGTTCCTAAGGGAACAAGGGACATTAGCACTAACAATCAAGGATCCAAAGTAATTTGGATACCAAAATCCAAATAAATGTCTCTTATAGGTGTGTGAGAGCAATGGTGACAAGATGAAGAATGGGTAACCTCTAAACTTAATGTTTTTGATTTTACATTATTGGTTGCCTATTTGTTTTATGAATGCATGAGTTTTTGAATATAAATTATCATTTTTTATTTTTCAATCTCATGTATATTAAAATGTGTTATGGTGAACATTTTAAATCTTTTAATGATTTTTCATAAATTTCTTATTCATCATAATGATTTTTGGTCAAATTTGTTTTTCATGTGTTTTAAACAAATTTTTCTTATTTTTGACCTTAAATTTGAATGTTTATGCATGTGATTTTATTGCAAATGATATCTCTCTAACAATTTATATCAATTTTTCAAATGCATAACATTTTTAGATATCTTTATGCATATAAACTTTAATGTCTCATATTAATATTGCATAAAGTAATTTAGACTTGGATTTATTGAATTTCATGTGCTACTAACGTGCTTCTCTCTTATCTTATTGAAATTCAATATTCTTTGAAGTGTCAAAAATTTTGAACAAAATTTTGTTTTTGGAATGCATTTGTTAAGGGGAAACTTTGATTTTTCAAATAATTTTTAATGATACAATTTCTACTTATTCTCCATGTTATTTTGTACTTTTAAAGTTTGAATTATTTTCTATATAACAAAAAGAGGAGAAGTATTGGTTTGAAATTTCTCAAAGAAAAAGGGGGAGTTTAAATATTTTTTTATAAATTCTCTTTTTCAAAATATATTTTTCTAAAGGGTAGCTTTTATCAAAAACAATTTTTCAAGGAAGTTTTGTTATATCAAAAAGTGGGAGATTGTTAAACTTATATTTTGATCTAACAAATATTTGTAAAATTGATTTTGGACTTTATCAAATTTTTCAAAAAAAAAATCAAAGTCCAAAAAAACTTGAAAAATATGTGTTCTTAGTTGCTTTATATATATATAATATTTTTGAGTTAATTAAAATATGTTTAAAATGTTTAAAATATGTTTAAAGATTTTTAAATATGAAAACACTATTTAGCCACTATTTCACACTGTTCATACACAAGTACTCTTCATAGTTTGGAAACTTTGTAAGCTTTGAAACTTTTATTAAACTTTGCACCCATAAATTGTTTTAACTGCCTAATTTTCTTCAATGATCATATTTTTAAGTAAGATTTTCAAAACTTTCATCAAAGTTTCAAAACTTTCAAGAACAATGTGTTTAAAAGTTTTGATACTTTCACTAAGTTTCAAAACTTTCTCAAAAGTTTCGAAATTTTCTTCAAAGTTTCAAAACCGCATGTGCATGTGATCTTTATTGCATGTTTTTAAAGCTTTCCAACTCTTATAACTCATCCTCAACCGTCATAAACGGCTAGCAACTCATTCCACACAATAAAAACACTCCAATGACACTTGAAAAAGGTTACTACGCTTATCCAAGCTTAGAGATCAAGAAAAAGAGTTTTTATTCCCATTTCCTTCATTTTCTCTTGTACATAAGTGTATAGAGCTTAATTTAATATCTTTTATTTTTATTCTTGTGAGCTTAAATCTTTGTAAACATCTACCTTGTGAGGTTTCTTGTTTACATTTTTTATCTTTTGTAAAAGGGGGGTGATTATAGTTTAGCCTTAAAAAACTAGAGAGTTGTAAATGTTACTCTTGAGCCTAGAAAAAGAAAGAACAAATTAGTGGATTTGTTGAAATCCTTAGTGTGGAGCTAAGGTAGTGGATGTAGACTTTGATTGAGAAAGTCGAACCACTATAAATCTTGCATCTAATTCTTATCTTTTATTGTGTCTAATTCTTGGCAGTTTTCAGTTGATCGATCGAGCCTAACAATAAGTATATATGTATGATGTATATAAGTATACACATAAGTATATATATCATTAAACATAAGTGACTAAAATAAAAGATTTTAAAATTAATATTCACATTAAATAAAGAAGGAAAAATTAAAAGTAAATAGAATGTATACAATACTAAATTGCATTGAATTGAAAAATTCAAGAAAATATTTATAATTAGACCATAGTTGAAATGAAAGAAATTAAAAACCAGATTACAAAATAGAAAATCAATGATTGTTAGAGTACTACTGCATCCTTAGTTAACCCAAAATATCTATTGGGCACTAAAAGTTGGCGCCGACATTTGTCCAAAAAACAAATTTTTCGTCTTCCCTCTTCTAATTTCCAAAAAAAAAAAAAACAATCAACTTTTCCCTCTTTTAAATTTTGGTAAAAAAATAAATTTGTCAAAATTTGACAATTTCCTCTTCTAAATTCCTAAAAAATTAATTTTTCCTTAAAAAAACAACATTTCTTTTGAAAAGTTCTCCTACCATGTGAATATATATATATTTATTATTTAAAGTGATGCTTAAATTTTAAAATTTTAAATTTTCAAGTAAATTCATATTTTTTTTATATTTTTTTAAAGTTTTAAGTTAAATCATATTCAAATTACTAATTAATTAATACATACATATAAATAAATTCAACTTATAAATATTTAAATTAATTTTATATAATCTAATAAAATCATATTCAATAAATAAATTATTTAATGAAATTAATTCAATGATTATAATTAAAATTTATAATATAAAGATTATAAATAATATATAAAGTATATTTATTAATTTAATTATTATAACTAACAATTTGTTTTAACTTTTAAAGAATAATCATATTAATTATCATAGTTTACTTAACTGTCAAAAAAATTATCAAACTAACAATATGTTTCAACTTTTAAAAAATAATCATATTAATTATCATAGTTTGTTATAAATTCAAAATCTCACAACTTCATCAATTGTAACTTATAAGTCTGATAAATATCAGTTCAATTTAATAACAGTTCGAATCATTTACATGTTAAGTCAATTACATATTAGGTTTGTAACAGGTCGGGTAATATCAGTTATTTACAGGGTTAATATCGGGTTCGGGTTCATACCAGGTTGAATGCATGTCGGGTTTTGTTATCACATTATCAGGTTCAATTCGGGTTCAAGTCATTCTCAGGTCGGGTGTAAGTCGTAAATTTCCAGGTCAAACTCGGGTTCAGATCAACACCAGTTCGGAATCGAATCGGTTTCGGATCACCACCACCTCGGGTCGTAAACAATTTTGACTCGAGCCGGTTTCAGTCAGTTTTTCAGGTCGGGACAGTTTTTTACATCCCTACACATTAGTATTGTGAACCACCACGTCAGAATCGTGAATTGTCACGTCAGCGCTATAACGATCAAGGATGAAAAGCGTTGATCAAAGGGTCACGTTAGATTTATTTTTTGAGTTGGAAGACCACATTATATACAAAATTAATTCGATGGTGATACTATTTTTTTTTCTTTCAAAAATACAATGGCCTTAGATACCTTTTAACCATTTAAAAGAAAATTTTCACATTTTGAAATTAAAAATTAAATTATTAGTAACGACATTCTTTTAAGGTGATATTCATGTATAATTTTAAAACGTATAATAATAAATTTAATTATCAATATTAATTTATTTTTATTAGTTTTAGTTTTTAGTTAAATTTAACACTTTACATTTTTATTTTAGTCAGATTATTCTAATTTTAATGGAGCAAATGATACATCATTAACTTTTTATAATGTTGATGTAATAGTCGAAGTGATGATCTACATGTAGCAAGTAATATTTCTAGGGGTGTACGAAATCGAATACTCGAAGTATCGGGTATTCGGTTATCTGAGTAGTATATTTGTCGACCCATTATTCGGTTTGTTAAGTCCAAGTATCTAGTAGTTTGGTATCCGTAAAATATGGGTACCCACATTTTTCGGATCACAAATATCCAGTTCATATAATTTTTATTTTTTGATTTAATATTTTTTTTTAAAAATCACATAGGAAATACATAAAAATTTAAAAGTTCATAATATACCATCCATTAGTGATTTGAAATTAGTTTTAAGGATATATATATAAAATAAAATTATTGAGTCAGATCGAATATCCAATTATAAAAAAAAATTAGCCCAGACCCTGCCTAACTACTCGAAAAAAATTACGGTTCGGGTACCCAACCGGTCAGATATTTTTTTTAGAGAATTACCCTTTTTTTAGGTTTGGGTCTGTGGGTCGACGCGTCGGATCAACTTTGTAGAGTATTTTTGAACACCCATAATATTAATGGTAAATGAATTATTGTTATTCCTTGATATTCTAGGTTCGAGCATCATAAATTTCAAATAATTGAAAGCTATATTTGAACAAATATTAACTTGTATTTACTATTTTTTTTATAAAATCAAAGTAATTTTCCTTTTTAAAAAAGAAAGGTTAAGGGTTCAACTAAGCTCAGGAAAAAATAAGAATCCAATTAACAATAAGTATAAAAATTGAGGACTAAGTTTATCATTATACATTTTAAAAATATTATAGGATTAACCAGACGTGTGCCTTTAATGCTACAGCCTCTCCTATTTATATACAGATCCATTTAACAAACTTCAAAAGCACTGCTATTTATGGCTATGGCGTTCAAAGCTCCGTGTATGGTGAAACAGTGGCAACAGAAACTAGTCCTTAACTGAACCACGAGCCTTATCTTTCAACCAGTTGTTTAAAACTCACTAATTTTGCACAATCGATAGCTCTTGTTCGATCTACTCCTCAAATTCCTCAACAAGCTTCCAGGTTTATTGGTTTTTTTTATCCTTCTTATAATTTCGTGCATGGGTTTTTAATTTTCATTTTCAATAGTAATTCGTCGATTGATTATCATTTCTGGAAAAATCCATTTCGTATTATTGTGAAATAGTGGTGGGTTTTAAGTTTCTTCTCTTGATCTTCTCGTTTAATGCCTTTTTGAATGTGTTTCTTCGTTCCAAAGCCTAGTGTTCCATTAGTTTTGATGATAAAAAAAGGGTTTTATTTTGTTTCTTTTAGTCTTTTCCTTTCCTGGATTATATTTAATTGTTGGTATTAAAACAATGAATTTGGCATATTTTCTTAATGATTCTGAATTGTGTTTGGTATTTTTAGTAATAAATTGTATGGTATATGTGGTAATGGGATATGCTCATAATCTATCAAAAACCAAAGCTGTCATGTTATGCTGTAAATATAATTGATTATTTTGGTTATTGTGGCTGTGAAGATTCATCATTGATTTCTTTCGATGGTATCAGGTTCTGGCGGTATACGTGATCAAACACATTCCCGGTGTTTTCCATCTCAAAGGTTAGAAGGAACTTATCGGTTTGCCTCTTCTCATGCTGTCGCTTATTTGAATTAGTGAAATGGAAAGGGGTAGAGGATTCGATGACTTTGATCCGGAACCGCTTCCTCCAGAAAGACCCGTGGACAGATATGGTTTTATAAAGCAGAGTGTTAATAGCACTGGCACTAAAGAAGGTTTACCAAGGAGTAGGTTAGTAGCATATCTTTCCTTTAATTAGTGTGCCTCTTTAAGGTGACATGAGTGTAGCTGTCATTAGGATTTTGTACTTCGTGATAACAAGCATTAATTTTAATTGTGCTTTTGGGTGATTAAAATTTTCCAGGGAAGCTAGAAGAGTAAGAAAGTGGAGGAAAATGATTGGGGTTGGTGGGAGTGATTGGAAACATTATGTAAGGAGAAAGCCACATGTTGTTAAAAGACGAATAAGGAAAGGTATTCCTGATTGTTTAAGGGGTCTTGTTTGGCAGTTGATCTCTGGAAGCCGAGACCTTTTGCTGATGAACCCAGGGGTTTATGAGGTATTTCTTTAATTTCTTGTCGGTTTAGACATTCTTTTTTAACAAACCGTGTATTATTTCTGAATGCCATGGCATTTGCTGGATTTTCCTTTCTGACTTAACATGCAATGATACTTATTTCTGCTAATTCTTCTAACTGTAGTGGAAAAGAACAATGGCCTGCTCATTATTCCTAGTTTGTAACATTGTTACTAGTTTGCAACAAAACTGGGTTTAACGCTTGACTCTGAATATATTGGAACTGATGACTGCGAACCTAGAATATAAATTAGAAGGAATGTTTTTAATATGATTGCATCAGGGATTGTTTGGAAGTTTTTATAGAAGGATGGGATAGTATTGCGGCATTCGAAAATTACTTTTTGTGCCAGTATCATTCACGGTTGTCAATACCATTTGATCAGTTTAATCTTTAGTCTTTCAAGCGGGATACACTAAATCATTTGGTGAGAATGAGGTCTGATATCTAAGTAGTGGTTCTTTCTAGTCCGCCAAAATATACTTGATTTTAGCAATGCCATTTTGTTTGAGGAATACTCTGGTTGAAATAGTTAAGTTCAATCATGTCCGGACCAAACCCTTTCAGACATCTTAGAGTACCCAGGCAGTGAATTAAAAACAGTTTCCAAGTGGTCATCTGGGATTATAAAATTGTTGTGGTTTAAAACAAAAGCCTTGTTAAGAAGTTTTGGGAACAAGGGTATTAGTATTCCGCAGGGTGAGTACTAGAGCATGAACTTTGGAAGATCTGAGAATAGTTTTCAGTTTCCCTGTTGTTTCTGGTACGTACATTATTGTTTTGTTTTGAATCATTATGGATGCCAGCCTTGTTCTGGATTTTGTATTAAGCTTCATGAATTAATGTAAAAAAGAATATTGAAAATTCAGACATCATTGTGAAATGCATATGAATTGGCTTTACAGAGGATAACGATGTGTAATTATTTGGTGTCATTTTATGTAACTTTTGGGTTAATAGAATCTGATTTTTGTCCTCCTTGTCCCTGCTCATTGGTTAATGGGCAAGATTAATATGATGTTGTTTTGACGATAATGACTTGGATTGGTGGAAAATTTATTCTCATTTTACTTTTTAGGGAGAATTTATTTTTCTTGTTTGGACCAAACTTTACCTTATCTTAATTGAGATTTTCCTTTCTTTCATCATTGTTTTTGGAAGTCTTCTTTTTGTAATGAAAATATTCTTCCTTGTTCCACATGTTATTTACTGATGAAATTTTATGCTGTTGCAGCAACTTGTAATTTATGAGACATCTGCTTCAGAACTAGATATAATTCGGGATATATCTCGCACCTTCCCCACACATGTTTTCTTTCAGCAGAGACATGGACCTGGCCAGAGGTCCCTTTACAATGTTTTGAAGGCATACTCTGTCTTCGATAGAGCTGTCGGATATGTCCAGGTTCGTCTCATGTTTAGGGGCTCGCATATTCATCTATATATCTTGGTACATAATGAATGCTATTGGTTTTTGTTGAAAATGCAGGGAATGGGTTTTTTAGCAGGTCTTTTGCTTCTTTACATGAGCGAAGAGGATGCGTTTTGGTTACTGGTTGCCTTACTAAAAGGAGCTGTTCATGCTCCTATGGAAGGCTTATATCAGGTATTTATAGTATTTAAAACCTATTTTTGTTATCTACAAAGCTGAATGCACCGTTTTTTGTTGTTAATGGTTTATTAGGGACTTAAGCCTGGAAAGATTGTTATTACCACTCTCTCTTACTCAGGAATTAACATCTGTTTATAGCAGTTTATATTAACTTCTGGTGTCAGGGAACTTTTCCTAGATTAATTTTGAAAGGAACTTTTATATTTGGATTATAAAGTGGATCAATTGATTTACATCTTTATCTGATCTTTTACTTTTAGTATGCTTATAGAGCATATATTTAGGCATTCTTGGCGGACAGCAGAGCATTGTGTTGAAATGAAACTAGTTATATCAGTCTAAAATTTAAGAACTAGGCTCCACATTCCGGCTTCTTCCCGTGTTATATCCTCTCATGATATTATAGTATATTATTGTTTGTTTGATAATCTAGCACATTTGGCATTCTACCATAGGACTGTAGTAATCTCGACAGGTTTATTGTGTAATAACTTTTTCCAAGGAACAAAAACCGAAAAGAATGTCGGTACTGAGTGATGTTTCTGGTTCAACCTTTGTGGACTGATTTGGTTCGATCATATTAATATAACTGGAAGTTTTGGTTGAACTTTCTTTATCCACTGTCATTTGGTGCATTTTTCTGTTGAGCAGAGATTTCTATTTAATTAGCATCATCCCATCATTATATATTCTGTCGGCTCTCTGAAAATTTGTATGCACTTGATAGGTTGGGCTGCCTCTTGTACAGCAATACTTGTTTCAGTTTGAGCACTTGGTGAGGGAGCACATGCCAAAGCTGGGTGAACATTTTAGCCGGGAGATGATAAATCCGAGCATGTATGCTAGCCAGTGGTTCATAACCGTTTTCTCGTACTCTTTCCCGTTCCCTTTGGCTCTTCGAATTTGGGATGTATTTCTATTTGAGGTTAGTGATTGGAAATAGGATATAGGTTCAAGCTGCTGCATAAATTGCATGGCCTGAAAATTGGTTTTTCGAGTAAAAGAAAATGATTTTCCTTGTTATTTTCCAGGGCATTAAGATTGTCTTTAAAGTCGGATTGGCCCTTTTGAAATACTGCCATGACGATTTGGTAAGTAGTTCAAGAACTCTTATTTTCTCGAGATCGAACTAACCATTCTTCTTACATTACTACGATGCTACATTGTTCATCAGATACATTTATCCTTTGAGAAACTCGTTCATGGTTTGCGTAACTTCCCGGAGGATGCAATGAACCCAGATATATTACTGCCGATGGCTTATTCGATCAAGGTTCCGTCTCTCTCAAACATATATTTATGGCATTAAGTACTTCAAATTTCTCCATTCCATTCATTTTCAAGATCCCCATGCATCTTTCTTGTGCCACAATGCTCTCTCTCTCTTTCTTGGCGTTGTTAAACGTTTATATGGTATCTGTTGGTGATCAGGTATCCCGGAGCTTATCAGAATCGAAAATCGAGTACGAGAAGAAACACGGAAAGGCGAAGACGAGAATCGAAGCATAATCGACAGTCTACCTGTTCATTCTTATTCTCACTGTTTTGCTAAAGAAGCTCAAGGCAAATTTCATTTCTAGCTCCTCTCCCATGGTGTAGCAAATTATCCTCAATGTACTTCTTTTCTAGTCCTTTTTAACTTTATTTTCATGAGATTATATGCATCAAATTCTCAACAAATCCATATTATGTGACCCTTTTTCTTGTTTTAAGATTAAATAATAAAACCTTTTTAAATGGTTTTTTTCCTTTTTCGAGGATGATTTTACTTATGTTTAAGGGAAAATTACTTGATTGGTCACCCAACCATTATCAATGGATTAAACAAGGACATGCCAAAAGACTAGTAATATCTCACGGTTTCTTTGCTTTGTAAAAATATGATATTAGCATTAATGGATTTTTATTATATTATGATGTATCAAATAATTTATGCATATTTTTATTATACTAAAAATATAGTTTAGTCAAAAGTTTTTAGTAGGACTGTAAACGAACACGAACGAGAGTATGTTCATTTTCATTCGTTTAACTTTAATTGAATAAATGAACGGACACGAACATAAATGAACAAAAAATTTCTTGTTCGTGTTCGTTCGTTAAGGAATGTAGCTTGTTTGTGTTCATTCATGTTCATTTATTTAAATGATAAATGAACACAAATGAATAAACATAAACGAACATAAACACACGGATGTAAACGAACATAAAAGAACACAATAAACGAACATAGATGAACAAAACAAAAGAATATAAATGAACATAAATCACAACAATAATAATCACATAACAAAAATAAACAAAAAAAACGAACATAAATGAATTTATTTTATAACGAGATCTCGAAGTTTTGAAAAAGATTTATTTCGAGGCTCTGACCGAGTTATCTCCGGTAATTCAGTGAATAGCGTTAAACAACAGTGGACAAAGACCAAATAGCATTGAGATTTGAAAAAATATTTTTTTCTTATTTCCTAATAATTTTAGTATTATATCTTATTTAATTGTTTTGGGTTTTTTAATTTGTATTTAAAATTAATTGAATTTTAAAATATTAATGGGAATCATATTAAAATTTATTGGACCTTAATATTTTAAATATGTATATAGAGATTGACCTAAATATAAATGAACGAACATAAACGAACAAACATGAACAAACAGACATAAATAAACGAACATAAATGAATATATTATCGAACGTTCACGAACGTAAATGAACTAACGAGCCATTTGTTTGTGTTCGTTCATTTAATAAATAAACGAACTTTCTATCGAACAGTTCACGAATAATTCACTGAACGTTCGGTTTCTTTTCGGGCCTAGTTTTTAGTAAAAAAATATATAAATATGAATACCAAATTAATTTTTAATCATATTAAAAAAATATTGCTTCTCTTTAGGATCACCTATTTTTGGAAAACTGGGTGTAGAAAGGACAATCGCGTATCGTCATTGTGATTTGTGAATATCGAAATGAAATAAACTACATATATAGCTAATCAACTATAAGAATCTTTTTGTTTTGGCCATTAAGCTATAAAATCTATCAATTGGGTCACTAAACTATTAAAATAGTTTCAATCAAACCACTAGTATTAATTATTATCGGAAATACTGACATGATAGTTAAATAAAATTTTATAATTAAACATTTGGTCCTAATTTTAGCTAATTTAATACATTTAATTCACCAATAAGATGGGGACATTAGAGGTAACTAGAGAAAGGAATGTGATCACTTAAAACATGTACAATTTGTGGGGAATAGACACAGCTAACCATTAAACGAATATTTAAATCAGGTTAAAAATAATCTAATAATTACATATATATAATTATAAAAAGAAAAACATTAAATTTAATTCAGAAGCATAAAAATATTGTACTTAATTTTAGTTTAGATGTGACATTTACTATATATATATATATATATATATATATATATATATATATATATATATATATATATATATGGGTAAACTACATCATTTCTCACCGAACTATACTCTATCCCCTACTTTTCTCACCTAACTTTCAATTTTTTTTCTCACTAAACTTACATATTGAATCATTTTACTCACTCTTTCGTTTTCTCTCTAACGGTTGAATGATGTGACATTTTTTATTTTTTTTAATATAAAATAATTAAAAATATTAAATAAAAACATAAGTTGTTCAGAGGTCATCGCAGGCCACCGTCGACCATTGTAGATGGTGGTTGTTCAGTACCAAATTTCATAGGTCGTTTTTCCTCAACATCGTGAATCCGAATTCGGCCTCCACTTTATCAGAAGTTGCTTCGAAGTCCACCAATTTGAGATTGAAAGCGAGGAAGACGAAACGTTTCAGTCGAAAAGCATGGATTTTAGGACATTTTTTGGTGAAACAATAATCAGATTCGGGCTCAGGGGATTGAGATGAACTGACCCATGAAATTAGGGACGGTGGTCGGAATGAAATGACATGGTGGTCGGCGGAGAAAAAATGGAGAAGAAAAGGAAAAGGGTAAATTACATAATTCCTCATTGAACTTTACTCCTCTTATTTTACTCACTGAACTTTCAATATATGATTTGAAGCGACGTCATTTTGATGTATATTTGAGTTTTTCAAAGCAACATCTTTTTGATGCTTGTGTCACGTCATAATGTCGTTAAATAGTTAACGACGAAGTAAACAAAATGATTCAAATTGTAAAGTTCAGTGAACAAAATAGAAAAATTGAAAGTCAGGTGAGGAAAATAGGAGAGAGTATAGTTCAGTGAGGAACAATGTAATTTTTGCATATATATATGCATAAATTAATTGACCTCAATGGTTAAAAGATTTTTTATTATTTATTGAGGTTCTGGAGCACCCTAAATATAGGAATATGGTCGTTTATGATCAAATGTTGCATTTGGCTCGATGATTTAGGTGTCTACACCTTAAAATGTTTGGGTTCAAATTTTTTATTTTTATTTATTTTAATTTTCTTGTATTATCTATAAATATGATTTAAGGTTTATAAAAAATAGTGTCAATCATAAAGTAAATATGAGATTCGATTTAGTAGTCAGTTGCGCCCATTTCCCACAAATTGTCCAAATTTGAATCCTTCTATTTCCTTTCTTGACTTTTGACACGTGTCATTAATTATATGATTGATAAATTAAATTTATTGAATTAAATTAATTTTAAAATTAAATTGGTAGAATGTATAAGTAGTGAGGATCAAATTATAATTATATAAATTTATTTAACTGTCAAGTTAATATTTTTTTTATTATAATTAGTGTCTTTATTAAAATTATTTTAATAGTTTAATAACTTAATTGACAAAATTCAAGTTCAACGGTAAAATTCATGTTTACCTATTGAAATAAGTGAAACTAGGGGTGTTCCATCGGTTAATTCAGTCAATCGATTGAACCGAATTATTCAAATTTTATTAATTAATTTTTCTTTAACAGGTAACCAAATCAAAATTTATTCAAAAAAATTAATATTTTGGTTTAAAAATATTATATATTAAATATATATATTTTTAATTTTTTCAGTTATTTTGACTGGTTAATTCGTTTTAAACCCAAATTTAAACACCTCTAAAGCTAAATAATATATATATATATATATAATATTAAATATTTAATTATTTCAGTTAATTCGATTAATTAACAGATTTTAAACCGAATTAATCGATAATCGAAGTTTAAAAATAATCATTAACGATTAATCGACTGAACTCAAAATTAATCGATCAATTAATCAACTAAAATTCCGATTCGATCGATTAACCCGATTTTAATCAAATTATGTATACCCCTAATTGAAGGGTCATTTTCAGGTGAGGACCAGAAAACTGTTTTGTGCCCAAATTCAGCATTAAAACAAGGCATATAATGGAAAGGAAGAGAACCGAAGCAATGAAAGACAATCAAGGGAGACAGCTCATCCATTTATAACATATTATTATTTTTCACATTCGGAATATTTCAAGAGTGCCCCCTGAACTATAACATTTTTTCAATACGGTACCTATATTTAAAATCTAAAGTAGTATTTGTCTTCAAATTTAATCTAAATAATATTTGTAAAAACAAATGCTCAAACTAGAATCACATAAAAAGAAGAACATTTCCTTTACCGTTAAAATTGTTCTTTGAATTTTTAATATTAAAAAGATATTTTTTTTAAATCATATATAATATTACGTTTAAGTTCCATTTTAATCACTCCTTGTGAAAAATGTGAAAAATATGTCTTATAATAATGTATTTTTTGTAAATTTTATATTATTTTTTAATTAAATTCTTATTTTATATCGAATTCACTCAAATTTATATTCTAAAAATTAGAATAGAAGCAGAGTAGAATGAAGGACACATATTTTGGATTGAGTGAAGTCGGATAGAGGATAATTGTGTCAACATTTTGATGAGTCTTTCTTGTCCACCAAATCTTCCAGCTTGCCCTTATGTCAATCATTAATGGTACGACCGTTATTTAAAGAAATACCGAGGGTCAATACGTAAAACAAATCCTTGAAGTTTTCTTCTTGGAAACTGCACCATAAAAGCGCCCAACGACGTGTTCTTCGCAAAATACTAAAATTACGAAAATCAAAAAAAAAAATTTCTCAGCGCCTCCTTTGAGTCTTGGGTTGATTTCTTTCCGATTATTTCTGGGTTTATTTTACTTTTTTTTGGAACCGGTAAGTTAATGATGATTCTTGTGTGATTTTTCTGCATGTTTTGTTATATTTATTTGGAATTTCTTATTGGATTTTCAGGTGTTGATCTAAAAGGGTTCAGGAAGAGGGTTTTCTCTCGGAGTGGTAACTGTTTCAGGTTTTGACTAGTTTTACATTGTGAGTGTTATCTTTTCATTTCATTATTGTTTTTTTTCTGTATTTCATTCGTCGATTGAGATTAAGATGATCTTCTAGGCCTTTGATTTTGCACCTTTTTCTTTATGTTTCGATTGTTTTTGTGGATTATTCATTGTTGATCGTTGATATATTATGTTTATATATTATCTTTTTCTTGATTGTTGATTTAATGATAGTGGTAGAACTTATGAAATTTATCAATAGATTATCAATAGAAAATATGTAAATTATACGGAAGTAGATTATCAATAGAAAATATCTAAATTATACGATAATTTGAAATTTTTAGGGAAGCCGACGCCCTTGAGTTTATCCCTGTATAGAATTCTTTGAATGATAAAACTTGTGGCCATTGTTATAGAGATTTGGAAATTTAGCTGCTGTCTGAGGGTATTCTTTGTTTGTTTCACCGCCTTGTGCCATGTCGATTGGTGCATATTAGTTATTTGAATTTCTATGAAGTATGATATTCAATTATCTCATCATTTGCATATTATACATTTGGGGTGGATCTTGATTATTTGAAGTTGGTTTAGTGCTTAATTTTAATTTGGGTGGCTCTATCGGGAAGATTGAATGATCTAATGGAGACCAAAGGTGGTAAAAAGATTAAGTCCAGTAGTAGATCCTTGTTCTATGAAGCTCCTCTCGGTTACAGCATCGAAGATGTTCGACCTCACGGTGGAATCAAGAAGTTCCGATCTGCTGCTTACTCCAACGTGAGTCTTTGTTGAATTTTGTGTGGTTTATATTTCATCATAAAAATATTGAGAATCTTTTAATTGACATTTTTCTGATTTTGTTTTCTTTGCAGTGTGTCCGAAAACCATCCTGACTTCCCCTAAGTTCCCAGTAGTCCGAAAGCCTCAGTCTCACTGCGATCATATCTAGTTTGTTTACTTGCCTGCTGCCTTATTCTCTAGTTCTTCCTTCTTTCTCTGCTTGTTTACTTTAATAGTCCAAGATGGCCTTCCCTGTCTCTGCTATTGGATTTGAAGGCTACGAAAAAAGGCTTGAGGTGTCATTTTTTGACCCTGGTTTCTCTGTTGATCCTCGAGGGACGGGCCTCCGTGCCTTGTCCAAAGTACAACTGGATGAATTCCTAAAACCGGCTGAATGCACGATCGTTTCTTCACTGTCAAACGATCATGTTGATTCTTATGTCCTTTCTGAATCGAGCCTCTTTGTTTACCCGTACAAAATAATCATAAAGACTTGTGGCACTACTAAATTACTCTTTGCAATCCCTGCTATTCTGAAGTTGGCCAACAGCCTTTCCCTTTCTGTACAATCCGTGCGATACACTCGGGGGAGCTTCATATTTCCCGAGGCTCAACCATTTCCTCACCGTAACTTCTCTAAGGAAGCTGCGATCCTTGATCGCTATTTTCCTAAGCTTCGTTCTGGTAGAAAGGCTTATATTATGGGTGGCTCCGATAAAACGAAGAAATGGCATGTTTATTCTGCTTCTGCACGAATGAGTATTCATTCAAAACCAGTGTATACTTTAGAAATGTGCATGACCGGCCTGGACAGGAAGAAAGCTTCTATGTTCTACAAAACTCATGCAAGATCAGCAGCTTTGATGACCGAGCATTCTGGTATTCGAAAGATTCTTCCGCAGTCTCAGATATGCGATTTCAAGTTCGACCCTTGCGGATACTCCATGAATTCGATTGAAAAGGATGCGATTTCAACGATTCATGTCACTCCGGAAGATGGTTTCAGTTATGCTAGTTTCGAGGCATCCGGTTATGACCTGGAGGCTCTGAATGCGAATCAATTGATTGAGAGGGTCTTGGCTTGTTTCAAACCGACCGAGTTCTCTGTATCTTTACATGTCAACATGAACGGAGATGATCTTGGATGTAGAATCCCATGTTCTGTGAACGGATACTGTTGCGAGAAAAGGAGCTTTGAACTGCTCGGGAATGGCGGTTCGGTCATTTACTACAGCTTTGTCGGTGCCGATCTGTGCGTGTCTCCGAGGTCGATTCAGGAATGGTGCAGGTGGAGGGAGGATGACGATGAGCAAATTGTTGGGGTGAGGCCTGTACCCCACCTTTTGAGTGCTTTGTAGCTTTGGATTCAACAAGTTGAACTGAAATTTTAGTACTTGTGTTTTGTTTTAATAAATATGTGTTGAATAAATGAATTTCTGTAGAATGCATTTTATTTAAGCTATAAAATTTTTATTTGATTCCCATTTAAAGATAATATTATTTTAAAATTAAATATTAAATTATTATACTTTAATTTTGGGGTCTTTATATATTAAAAAAATACTAGTTTATTGTTGTTTAATCTTACAATTAACTGTTGTTTTAATAACCATATATAGAAAAGTAAAAATAATTTTTTTAACCCCTCAGATTTATAAGTTTTATCAACTTTATTATTTAATTTTTAGAATAAGTAATATTTAAACTTAATTTAAATTATATTTAAATGTTAAATAATATAATACTATAGAATAATGTAACTACAAATTATATGATACTTGACAAGAATATATCCACCACAAATAATTCTCTCTAAATGTTATATTGTCTTTGAGTACGGAAATTTTAATTTTTTTCTCTCTTATTTAAATAATTTTGTTGAAAAAAATAAATTATTTAATTTAATTTAAAAGATATAAGATATTTTTGCATTTTGGAATAAAATAATGTAATATTCAAATTATTTTTATATTTAATGTGACATTTCAATTTAGGAAATAAACATGATATAACTTTTTAGCCCTCGTTATCCATAGACTATAATTGATTATTATAATGTTGACATGATAATTTATGATATTGATATAATAATCTATAATATTAACATGACAGTTTACGATAATTAATAATAATTAATGATATGACATATAAATTTATGATTTAATATTAAAATAAGTGTATAAAGTATGTCTCAAAAAATATTTTGTGCTTAAAGAATTTTTCTGCCTACTGTTATATTTTTTTTCAATTTTTAATAATAAAATATTATTTTTTAGAAAAAAAATTAAAAACTGAATTTATTTATAAAAAAATCTATTTTTTTACTAAAATTATAAACAAGCTAAAAACCTAAAATTTCACATTTCAACCCATTATTAACCATCATGGGCCATCTCTGACTATCATCGTTATTGTCGAACGATTGAGTTTTAATCGAAATTACATAGTGGCTCAAATGATTGTGACAATGTGACTTATGGACTTCAGAATCGACCGAAATTGATAAAGAACAACAATGATGGTTTAAAATACGATGAACCTTTGAACGTTTCTTCACGAAAAACGGTGCCAGATTACGACAAAAGATCAACGAGGGTTTGATTGGAGGTCGAACTCGGTGCTGTTGACTACGGTAGTGATTATTACGATTGGCTAGCCGATGACAACCGGAAGGGAGAAGTGGGAAGAGGGAGGCATGGGTGTTGTTTGCGGTTTTTCTAATAAAAATATTTTTATTTTTTTAAAATAAATTCTCAAAATTATCATAGCGTGACACGTGTCACTTAAAGAGATTATTAACGACGATTAACGTTCGAATATATAAAAATGTAATGTTTAAAACATTAATTATCATTTTTTAGCAAAAATTTCTTTAAACATTAAAATATTTTTCAATACATAATTTATCACTTATTTTTGTATTAAGCATAAAAATATATTTTATATAATCTTTTTCGTGTCATTGCATTGTTCATTTATAGTGGTAACCACATTTTCAAGTAAGCTTTGATTACAGATTACAGACACAAAGAGAAAGATATGAAAAAAAGATGAAAACAAAAGAAAGAAGAGACGCAAGTTAAGTCGGCGAAGTTTCCTTTGCTATCTTTTCCTTCCTTTCTAATTCGCTTTCCTTTCCGTTTACTCTCTCGGCTCTGCTGTTTTCTCAAAATGGGTTTGTGGGATTCACTTCTCAATTGGCTCCGCAGGTAATTCTCCTTTGCGATATTAATTTATTCCATGAAAAAAAATCCTAAAAAATTTGTATTAATTGCTTACAGTTCGTGAAAAGGAATTTTAAGAACAAATTAGAGATTGGGTATAGGAGAAATATTGATTCTGTAAGACTATGCAACACTGGGTTTTGGTTTTGGTTTTGGTTTTCTGTGCTTTGCTTGGCTTGGCTTGCTGCGAAAATTGTGAACCTTGCTAGGTTTTGAACACATTGAACACCCAATACACCATACATATTGCTAGAAATACGGACTAGTCTAAGTAGCACCGTAAAAATGGCTAGTCGAGCTCGAGTTTTGATGAATCGACGGTACTTGAAAATTTCAAAGTTAAAAAATTTGAGAGTTTAAAGTTGTTTCTATTCAAACTTGAAATAAAAAACTAAAGCTCGACTCAATTTCGAAAATGTTTTAAATTAAAATATTTTCAAATTTAGTTCAATTGAAGCTCGAACTCGATACTGTGCCCTTAAGAACATGAGAACCTCATGTTGCCTTCTTTTAAAGAAAAAAACAACATATAAATATTAATATTATTAATTAATTTTAAAATTAAAATTTTAATATATTATTTCTTCAAATTGCTGACTAGCTTTTCGTGTTGGTTATTAAGTAGTTCGTTTCGGCTCGTTAAGAACTCAAGTCAGATCCATTCAATTCGAATGTTGACTGAGTTTTAACGGATAAGAACTCAAGTAATTCACGATCTGTTTTGTTTCATTTAATGCTCTAAGTCTAACTAGCTTTACCTTCAAGCTGTTGGAATATGGTCAATGTTCGTGTCGAATATCTTTTGTTCGGCTCGATCTAATCATAAAATCCTAGTGTTTTCGGTGGGAAATATGATTTAATGTTTAACATCTCATTTCCTAATATCGGAAGGTATCATTGGCATGAGTTCATCTGTTGTTTGAGATTTTGTGTTCGTTTTATTCGATCTTCATTTAGAATAGTTGAGTTAATTTGATAAGGTTCTTAGTTAAACCAATTGTTTAGTCATGTCTTGGCTTTACATTCTGTTGGGTTCGATGAAGCTCGTTCGATCAACCGAAAATGAGTCAAAAGAGGTTGAATTGGCTTTTTAAAATTTAGAGAGCAAAGAGAATAAAGATAATAAAATTTGCACAATGATTTATAATGGTTCAACTTATCGACCAAGTCTACATCCACTACCTAAGTTCCTCACTTGTGATTTTCCAACAAATCAACTAATTTGTTCTTTTTCAAGGACAAAGATATAACATTTACAAACTCCCTAGCTTTTCAAATGCTTAGTTAGAACCAAAACCCCTTTACAAATAAAAAGAATTGCAAACAAGAAAACCTCTAAAAATGAATGTGTTTACAAATTAAAACTCACAAAAACAAAAATATTTACAAGAGAAAGAAAATAAAGAATGAAAAGCTTTTCTCTTGCGTTTGATTGTTTGGATAGGTGTTGGTAACTTCTTCAAGTGTCATTGAGTTGTTTTTATAAGTTGGAATGAGTTGCTAGCCGTTGGGATGTTTCGGAGCGGTTCGGAATCAAAATAGTCATTACTTGCAACTTTTAAGGCACAAGGGATCGATCCTTTTACCAAAGGGATTGATCATTTTTCAAATATTTTGACACCAAAGGGATCGATCCATTTTGAGAAGGGATCGATCATTTTCCTCGAGAGATTGATCCTTTTGTCAAGGGATCGATCCCAAACTCACTGTTGTCCAAGGGATCGATCCTTTGAGCCAGGGAAGCTTGGAAACGTGACTCTAAAGCGCGGAAACGATCAAGTATGTTTTGAAAAGGTTCGACTAAGTTTGAAAAACATTTAAAAACATATTTTTAACTTTTATTTGGACTTTGAATTATTTTTGAAGACTTTGAATAAATTCAATATAGTCCAAAAATATTTTGCCCTTATTTGTTATATCAAAATATAAGTTTTACACATTTGTTGATTTTTTTTTGCTAAACGTTCGAATTGAAATCGAGTAGTCATATAGAACTTCAAGTTTTGGTCATTCACTCATCCTTATGCCCGAAATATGGGCAATGCTATCTAGCTTTCTTCTCTTACCCGAGTTGTCGATTTGTAATGTCATGTTGTAGACACTCATTTTCGTCCATTTATTTTCTTTTATTTATTTATTTCATATATATCTATATATTATATAGTTTGCAAATGGTTTTTGAATATATATATATAATATATAGTTTTGAAAACATGTTTGAAAACATTTATATATTATATAGTAAATATAATATATAGTTTTTAAAAAACATTTTGAAAATATATAATTTTTAAAAAATATTTTTTGAAAACTATATAATTTTGAAAACATTTTTAAAAAAGTATATATAATATATAATTTTAAAATATTTTTATAAAATATATATTATATAGATTTTTGAAAAATATTTTTTTTATTTTAATTTATTTACCTCTTGTTATTTTTTTATTTATCATTATTATTATTTATTTTATTTATTATTTTTTTCTCATTTTTTCAGGTCCAAAACAGTCCATCAGTTCGGATCCAACACGGGCTAAGCGGGCCTGAACCAGCCCAGGGTTGCAAAACCCTAACGTATCAGCCAACACGGCGCCGCATAAGCAAGGAAACCATACGGTCAAACGGCGCACCAGTCGGTCGGGAAAACCGGGATTGCACCATCCCGAGAATCCCGGCCACGTGAACGTTGAGGGGAACAACCCCATTATCATCGAAAAAGGCATTCACCGAGGGGATATAAATACCTCGGTGAGGCCATGCAAAAGGGGAGGAGAACAACTGTATCACACAAAACAGAACCCACAGATAGCATCATCAACACAGAAAATAGAGCCATCACAAAACAACAACCACGATAACATCACAATACCATCAACACAAACAACATCAACCAAAAACTCAGAGTAAATATCAACAAAAACCTCACAAAGATACAAAGCAAGAAACCATATAAAACCAGTACATCGATGGTGCGTCGGAACCAAGAGGAGCCAAACACCTTCGAGGCCCGAGGAGTCGTCGGAAAAGGTAACGGAACCGAGGGGTTTTTTTTAGATCTAGGGCGTTTGGCCCATTGCATGGTATTTTTGTGGTTAGATTCGGCTTCGGGGTGACGGGAAGCACATTCAGAGAGGTTTCGTTTATTTTCGGCCGCAAGCGGCGGCCGGTGATGGTTATCGACGGTGACAGATGGTGGTCGGCGGGGGCTGACCACCCCTCAGACGATAGGGCTTTAGACGAGGATGAGAGAAAACTTTTCTCTCATTTGTTAGAGAGAGGAAGGAAAATGAGCAAATGAAAGATGGAGGCCTTCATGGTCGGTTTTGGGGGTGTTTATACCCTCCTCAAAACGATGTCGTTTTGGGGAGGGACATCAGTGTAATTTCAAGAGTGGATAAACTCCGTCTTCGATCATCATCTTTTTTAATATTTATACATTGGTCACTGAATTCAATTTTTCGTATTTTAATCTGGGATTCGAATTTATCATGTTTATATTTTAGTCCCTAATTTATATATTTTCAAATCTGGACCAGGAATTTACGCGGGTTTTATTTTGGTCCCAAGTGTAAATTAATTTCTTTTATTTCAGTCTTTACATTATATAATAATGTCATTTTAATCACTAATTTTATGTGTTTGGTATTTTGTGTGATTCTTTAAATTTTATTTATTTTTTTATTTTATTTATTTTTTTTATTTTATTTATTTCTTCATTTTTTTAAAACTCAATTTCACCAACTTTTTTTAATAACATTTTTATATTTTTTTTATATATTATTTTCCCTTTTTTTCTTTGACTTACTTAATATTTATTTATTATTTGTTATTTAACATTTTTTTTACTTTTTTAGAGAAATTCCAGTCAACCAAGGGTAAGTAACTCGAATCGGATTTTTAAATTTTGATTTAAATTTTTAATCTTCGCAATTAAAGACAACCGATAAATTAATTGGTACCGAAAGGGCGGTTCAAGGGTGCTAATCCTTCATTGACCGTAACCGACTCCCGAACACTACATGTTTCTGGTACAACGCAGATCAGGTAAGATGGTGTCCGACCCACCTAAATTCGTTTTAAAATGGTCGGTGGCGACTCCAATCCACTCATTTCAAGTCGAAGCCCAATTCCGGAGCCCAACCGAAAGACGGTTCCGACACATGTAGAAATCGAATTTCATTGTATTGTTTGTTTTGAGAATCCGAGGTAATAGTTAGTGTGAAGATGTGTTTTCAAGCACTTCCGTGCTTATTTCGAGTATCCGCATTGCAGCTTATTCTTTAAGCAGGAAATGGAACTATCGCTTGTCGGTCTTCAGAACGCCGGAAAAACATCTCTCGTCAATGCCATTGCTGTGAGTAACACTGAATTTCTTTCTTTCTTTCTTTCTTTCTTTCTTTCTTTCTTACTGCTGTTTTATAATACTTCACTTTCTAATGTTTACCAGACAGGGGGCTATAGTGAAGACATTATTCCCACCGTAGGTACCTTTTCATTTAGACAAATCGGATATAATGATTATCCTTGAGGATATCTTAAAAGAAAATCATCGAATGTCGAATCCAGGGTTGGGTTTAATATGAGAAAAGTTACAAAGGGGAACGTGACGATAAAGGTATGGGATCTTGGAGGGCAACGGAGGTTCCGTACCATGTGGGAACGTTACTGTCGCGGCGTCTCCGCTATTGTGTAATGCTTTCATTCCCGTAATCCAATAGCTTTTGTCATCTTTTTTTACCGTTTAACGTACATATAATGGCAGATATGTAGTTGATGCTGCCGATAGAGACAGTGTTCCGATATCCCGAACCGAGTTACACGACCTCTTGACAAAACCTTCCTTGAGTGGAATTCATTTACTTGTTCTTGGCGACAAAATCGACAAGTCGGAAGCTCTTTCGAAGCAAGCTTTGGTGGATCAGCTGTAAGTTTTACAAGCTTTATGATAAGTCGTATTTCTCTTCTCTTCTTCGATGATTTACTCCGAGAAAACTCGTGTCTCTGCTCTTTCCGAGAATCTAAAAACATGTTATTGTTTCGTTCAATATTTGTTTCATAGGGGTCTTGATTCGATCAGCGATAGAGAGGTTTGCCGCTACATGGTTTCATGCAAAGATTCCGTAAATATAGACATTGTCATCGTTTGGCTGATCAAGCACTCGAGATTCGCCAAATAAGCAGCGGTGCCGATGATTTCCTATCGTCTCGTTGCCGGTGAAGGAAGGACAAAGGACTCGTGTACAAGTTGAAATTGTGGTAAGAATTTTCATTGAATTTCCTTCAAACTAATGTCTTGTGTGAGTGTGATCCAAATAAGTTTATTTCTTGAACTGCACGAAAGAGTTTAGGCGTGGCTCTGACGAAACGGGTTGCATATAGCATCGGAATCGTTGATTAATGCCCCAGAATATTTAGGGGAATTGATATTCTTTAATGTATTTCAAACATGATACTCTCGTATTCTTGTCCGAAAATGTGTCGGATATGTGTGTCGATAGGCACAGACCCGAGCCCGACAGATTCTGACCTTTCTCAATCTTGTTAGACTTGGTTTCTTTTAAATAATTCGATTCCAAATCGGGTTCGATCAAATTTTTAGGAGATAAGTTAACGTGAAAGTAGGTTTGAGTTCAGAGTGAAAAATATTCGACATGACCCAGAAAATAATGTAATTATATATTGTATATTTAGGTATAATTATAATAATAATAATCTTCTCTATATTATTACTTTTAATTAAATTCTTATATTACCGGAAAAAATATTTTTTAATATATTTTATTTCGGGTTGAATTGAGTTTTTATATAAAAAATGTGAGTTGAGTTTCAGGTCAGGTGGGGTCGAGTCAAATTTTGAGTTATAAGTGTATATTTTTCGGATTAGATCGGCTGAAATTCGTGTGATTGATAGAGATGTTTAGTTGGGCCTTTGGGGTTTTGAGATATACCGTTGGAACAGGTTTCAAGGTACCTAAAATTGATTTTCAAGACAATTTTTGGCTAAATTATTCATATGGGTATTAAATTATAGGATTTATTCTATTTTACTCACCAAATTAATTTTTTTCAATTAGATTAGTCAACTGTTAAATTAGGGTAAAGTGCACAAATGGTTCTCCGACTATAGGATAATATTTTATTAAGCCCCACAACTATTAAAATTTATGAAATGGTTCCTTGACTATAGTCCATTATTTTTTGAGTTCACTGACTATTAAAAGTTACAAAATAGTCACCTAATTATTCATATATTCTAAACTCATTCTTTTTCGTTAAAAAAAATTGATGGTAGTCTGAACTGTACGTTAATATGTTAATTGTGACATGATAGAATTGATCCTAAAATCTCAAATCTTAATTAATATATTAACGTTCAGTTCAGATTATCGTCAATTTTTTAGAGAAAAATGGTGAATTTGGAACATACAAATAGTCGGGTGATAATTTGTAACTTTTAATAGTTAAAGAACTCAACAAAGCAATATCCTATAATCAAGGGATCATTTTGTAATTTTTAATAGTCGATGGATTCAACAAAACAACACCGGCATAAATGCTTCAAATTCTTTGATACTAATAAATTTAAGATTATTTAACATATTTTGATACTTCTATTCTATAATGTCATTAGTTGTTCAAAACAATTAACATTGTTAATTAAAATGTTTACATGATTTTTTTAATATTATTTCACTAGAAATAAGTGTTAATTGTTTGAATTAATTAATAATAATATTTGAACAAATACTACGTTCTATTAACTCTAAATTATAAAAAATAATTAACAATATTATAAAAGTTAAAAAATTTAAAAGTACATCAAATTAAAAAATAATGACTAAATCTGAAATTTGGACATAGTATAAGCATAAGAACCCTAATTTGACCATGACTAAATATTTATTTATATATTTTTTGGAAAAGAGTTAGATTTTCAATAAATAAAAAGGCCTGAAGATAGATAAAATCAATTCGACATATTGTTTTGAGAGCGGTTTTGAATGGATCAAATAAATTGTCACAAAAGAGATTTAATTATATGAGATCGTTGACTAGAAGGCTTGACGATTGATAAAATCAATTTGACATATTGTTTTATGAGCGGTTTTGAATGCATCAAATAAACTGTCACAAAAGAGATTTAATTATACGAGATCGTTGACCTTTTTGATCAAGAAGAAATGAGTCATGATGAATGCAAAGTGAAAGCCAAACTATCATAACAATAGACAAAATCATGTCATAAATGTAGACGAAAAATAGTTTCATAAAAACAGACAAAATAAACGTTTCGAGATTATGAAAAAAAAGAGAAAAAAATAATAATTATTTTCTTTGTTATGAAATTCAGTATTTTTTTAATAGTATGCAGTGATTATGATGCAGTATTTATTTATAATTTTCATAATTAATCCCTGCAAACGTTGTTGCTCAAACTCAAGACATCTAGTGAGAACAACATTTTCTTTCACCACTAAGACCACTTGATGAGTTCTGAAATTCACCATTTAAGTAAGCTAGAGAAACAGTTATTAAATATATTTTAAAATTAACGTTCGAATCTTATTATTGTAAATAGAAAAAAAATAAGAATGATCTCATAACATGTGGCATCTAAATTTAAATTAATTGATCAACGAGTCAAATATCGATAGATATGTTAAAAAAAGAGTAAATTACACATTTAGTGCTTAAATTATCAGTTTTCATCTGTTTTAGTACTTAAACGTTCAATATTTTCAAATTCATACCTAACGTTTAGTTTTTGTTTCATTTTAGTACACTGCCGTTTAAAATTTAACACATCTAGTATCAAAACTATCAGTTTTTGTCTGTTTTAGTACCCAAACTTTCAATTTTTTTCGAAACTTAAATTTTGAACGGGATACCAAAATGAAACAAAAACTACACTTTAGGTATAATTTTTAAAAAATTGAAAGTTTAAATACTAAAACAGAGGAAAACTGATAATTTAGATACTAAACACATATTTTAACCGAAATAAATTACCAATGATTGAGAAAGTAAACGTAGGGTATAAGGAAGAGATAACTAAAGGAACACCATTTGCAAACACTACCTTTTACAAATAAATAATCACATATAGATCCCCTTGTTTTATAACATTAAGACAAAGCCAGCTTTGTTAAGTGGAGGGGAAAGTGTCCCTTTTCTCTCCTTATAAGCTTTTTTTATAATGGGCAAATTGCACATCTTCCCATTTGTCCTTTTGGTGGAAAGCAACATTTCGTGAAGAAAAAAGAAAAAGAGATCAACAAACCCTAAATAAATTCTGCCCTTTTGTTGTGCAATTCTTGGCATATTTATGTACCTGCATCGAATTGTAACAATGATTAAGTTATTCATTCAAACCCAAAGAATCGTTCTAGTATATTTCGGAATAGAATTTTTAAAATTTCGTCTCTATGGTTTAACCGGAATTGAAATAAAGTAAAATATCGAGACTAAATCCCAAATCGAAGCAAACTATAGGGACTGGAATTGGAATTTGACCTTAAAAAAGTAACTAGTTGCTTAATGTGTGGTTTTCTTTTTCAAGAAAGTCCCAGACATTTAAATTAAATAAATTATTTACGAAAAAGCAACGTTTCAGTTGAAATAAAAGATTTCCTTAAATACCAATAAAAGGATATTAGTTTATTTAAAAGTAGGGTAAATTACGTATTTAGTCATCTAACTATCACTTTAGTTTTGTTTTGATCATCCAACTATTTTTTAAAAAGCGTCACTAAGTTACGTTTTGATTTCATTTTGGTCACCCACCGTTAAAAGATTAATAGAACTACTAATATGACGTTTAAAAAAAAATCAATGATGATATGTCATTATCTTATAGGGACACATTATAATTACCTTTAATTTTTTAACAACAAACGAATAAAATGAAATCAATATTTAACATTAGTGATGATTTTGAAAGTAAAATAGTTGGGTAATCATAACTTAATCAATGTGATAGTTGGATGACTAGATGCATAATTTACGCTTAAAATAATTAAACAAAGTAGAAGGACTTATTTAAACAAAGCAATGAGCTGGAAGGGCTTTTCTAATATTTTACCATTTCCTCCCGCCACCTTTCTTTAGGAAAGCATGAAAAATGACAATGACAGCAATCCCATTATCAGCAAGTAATCCAATGACAGTGGCAAACGTCTTTTAGCTGCAATTCCCCAAGCCCCCACGGTGGAGAACCGTGCATAACACTTCCCCAAGAACAAATCGCCGTACACCGCCGCCCGGCAATCGCTTTTCAACCGTCCGATCGCCTCCGACAAACAATCCCGGCATTCTCCGACGCCGAGATCCCCCATGCATTGAGCCAAAGCCTGAACTTCTCCGGACCCGCCCACCCTAAACATCCCGCCGTCGCTCATCAACCCGCCCATCACCGCGTCACGACGGCCGACGATCTCCTCCTCCTTGGCGTACTCCACCGACGGCCCGCACTTCTTGTACACCACGTTCTTGTCCTCGGCCCCGAGGAACGAGGCGTTGTCGTACTTGACGTAGCAGCCCTGCAGCTGAACCGCGCCGCCGCATGCGGTGGGGCAGTAAGAGCCGACCTTGGTGATGGCGCGGGCGACGCAGGTGGCGCAGTCGGGCATGGAGAGGTCGCCGCGGCATTGGTAGAGGCCGTAGACGACGTCCTGTGGAGTCGAGCCAATGACGGTGAAGCTGTTGTAGGAGGAGTAGGTAGCCGAGTTGACAAGGGAAGTGAGTAGCGAGTTGAGGTTGGACTCGAAGGGTGAGTTGGGCGTGTACTGCGGTTGGCTGCAGCCACCAAAGACGAATGAATCTGTTGATGACGAAAGCACTGTTTGGATGAAGAAAGTGCATATGGAGAGTGAGAGTGAAAGCACAGCATTAGTTTCCATTATCGCCATGCTTACTAGAATGACAAGGAAGATAATCTATACATGTGTGTATAAAATCATATAATATTTTCTTAGTTGACTGGCACGGGTCGGGTCAGGCCTGGCCGTTTTCTATAATATCCACTTCGACCCGAAAATATATTACTTTTACCTAATTCTACTCCGTATCGATGGTTGTTGGGTTTTTTTTCGTCTTGAATTCGTTCTGATTCGACTCGATCCAATTATATTATTACGATTGGAGAATCTAGAGATTCATAATGATTTCTAGTTCATAATCAGAAACCTCAAGAAAATGAAAACTGTATCTCTATTATTTAAGAAAAAATGTGAAATTTAGTTTAATATATTAAGAAAAATAGAAAAAATAAAATTTTTTGCATGCCCATTATTTTTAGGAAAAGAATATTAAAATTTTGCACCCCTATTTTAAAATTTCTAGATCCACCACTGTACCTAATGTTAAGTTTTTGAATCTAGTACCCGCCATTAAAAACTTAATGCGTTTAGTATCTAAACTATCAATTTTGGCTCGTTTTAGTATCTAAACTTTTAATTTTTTCAAAATTTAGCGTTAAATTTTGAACGGGTACTAAAACGAAATAAAAACTAAATTTTAGGTATGATTTTGAAAAAAA